TCTAGAGATAGAAATGGTATTTACTAAATGTGGCAGGATTGAATTTATGAGTGTAGTTTCTTTTTTCCTACTCTCTCTCTCTCTCTAGTCTCCTATTGCTTTCTGTATTTATCTTGTGCATGCAACTGATAATCCCTCTTTCCTCCACCCACCACACGACAGATACCCTGCATATACCTTAAAAGGTATTCCACAACAAACCAGTCAGATCACTATAACTGGATGGAAGAAAAATAGCTGCCCCGGGCCTGTGGTCCCTTGGTGACTGCAGCACTTTCAGGCCAGGGTCACTGGGGAAGATCAGCTCAATTGCTATGCTTAATAATTCCGGTGATGCACAGAATTCTGACAGAAAACAACAAATGAAATGTGGAAAACTAAAGTATATAACAGCTGATGACACATCAATGCAGCGGAAATCAACAACCCATACAACCAAAACAAGGAGAGTTTGAGAATGACATGATTACCTGCTGCAGAATCATCACGGGAAGATCTGCCAAATCGCAATCATATTTGTTCACAGAACATAAATCATCAGAATTCCCTTTGAACAGGCGAACAATATTAGGAGCACATTCTCCTTCCACATTGATAGAGTCATCATTCACGACCACCTTGGTCCGGAACTGTGACTTAATTACATTCTTTTTGCCAGGGGTGTGATGTAATCGAGCTTGAGCACTTGCATGAAGAATGGACTGAGGGACCTTCATAAAGAGAGTCCATGAAGATTTTCGAGAATGCCATGTTGGATGTGATATCAGATGCAGATAAGAAACCTTGCAAACCTAAAGATAAAACAAAAAATTATACTGGTGCATAAATAGAAACATCAAAAGCAAAAACTTATCATCAGTCCATGCCTAGTGAGATATCAAGACGCTACCACGTTTTCCAGCTCCACAAGAACTCTGTTTGAAAAGATTCTATGCGCTAGTGACAAGCAGAAATGGCCAAGAAGTCCGGATACATCCTTGGCTGGTCGGACAGACGCTCGAGTAACAATACTATGCTTGGATGTATCTTTGGACTTTTCAAATACATATTCATGAAAGATCTGTTGTAGATATATCTCACAACTGGTACAGTTAGGAAAACCAAACTTCCTTGCATGAGTATCATTTTCTCCTTCTGCAAACTTCACCCCATCAAATGAGCCTGAAGGTAAGATTTTAGATTCTAAACTATTGGTGCTTGTATCATCTACTGTTTGTTCACCCTTGTTAGATGGCGCAAGTGATACGAACACAGAGGTTCCCTGACCTATGCTCATTTGCAGATAATTTTCTTGGATTCCAGTTACATTCACTCCTAAAGATTGTTTAAATGCTTCACGATTTACCATTTCAAAGACCTATAACAAAAGAAACAATGAAAAAAGAACATTAATAGAAGTTCCTTATTTAGAGGGTTGGGGGTCGAAAATGATCTGAAGTTGTCACTAGGAAAAGAAGGAAAATCCACCTGCTCAGAAAAGATTGACTTGTGCACTTCACGAAGTAATGAATGTGTTTTTTCAATAAAATCATCATCATTCACTGGTTGTTCCTCAATCTCCCTTGAGGTCTCAACTGACTGTGTGTTATTCTTCTTATCAGATTCCGTTCTCAGACCAACACCAAGAAAACCAAAACGAAGAGAACGGCATGAATTTTGGGGTAGATTAATAGCCAGCATACCGGCTGAGTCCTGTTCAACACGAATGGGAGATAGAGCACTTGGTCGGAATACAGCTACCGAATCATATAATGAACTATCAAAAAGATCAAAGGTGAAGCCTTCATTGCTGGGAGCTGAAACTGCTACACGCTGTCGTTTAACTTTCCAATTTTGCTGCAATCTATCAGCTTACCAGGAATTAGTATATAGAGGATAGTTGTTCAAAACTAATACATGATAAGCAAACATCTTCATCATACTGAAAGCAAATAGAAGATTCACAATTAAAAACCAATACATGGAGGATATTTTTCAAAATTAAGCACATAAGAAAGCTCCTTCATCCTACTGAAGCAAATGA